GGAGGAGGGGGAGGAGCTCCATCGACATCGACGCCATCGCGTCCTGATACAGGAGCAGGAAAAGGTCTAGAGACAGGAGACGAAGACAGGAGACAGGAGACAAGGGACAGGACACAGGGGACAGGGGACACGAGACGGGGACGGAGGACGGGGGACGGGAGCAGGAGCAGGGAGCAGGGAAAAGGCGACAGGGCCAGGACCGAGGGCGCGAAGAGGGCGTGGGAACTCACCTTGTCAGGATGCACCTTGGCAATGGCGCGGACGTAGGCGCGCTTGACCTGGGCGTCGGTGACGAGCTGGTGCATGCCCACCTTGTTCCACCCGAGGCTGGGCCACGCCAGCGCATCCACGCTGGCCAGCAGCGCGCGCAGGTTCGTCTCCTTCCCCGCGCGCCACGCGGATAGCTGCGCATCCACGTCGTCCTTGTGCGATAGCCGCTCCGCCTCCTCGGCCTCCTGCGCCGCCGTCTGCCGTTGATGCTCTCGAAGCTTCGTCGTCGCTGTCGTCGTCGCACTCGATCCGGCTGCGACGCGAGGAGGCCGCGATCGAGAGGTGCCGCCGACCGAGGACGACAAATTGGCGTTGGCGCGACGACCGAGCATCTTGCCGCACCGTGCGATGCCATCGCGCGCAAAACGAAGGTTGTTGACGCCCCCCGCACCGCCCACGCCACCGCCACCGCCGCCGCTACCCTCCTGCTTCTCATACTCGAGCAGCAGCTGCCACGTCTCGTCGGCCGCGCCCCACTTTTCCAGCGCCTCGCTCGCCTGCGCCTTGCGCAGCAGCGCCTTGGCGTACCCGTCGCGCAGGTTGACGTCGCGCGCCACCTCGCCCGGCAGCGCGTGCTCCGCGCTTGGTCGGTAGAACGACGAGGCGCCGCCGCCGCCGCCGCCTGGGTGGATCAGGGCAAGGACGCGCTCGCAGTCCTCAACGGCCGCCGCCGCGGATCCGTTCTTAAGCCGCGCGTTGGCGCGGTTGTTGAGCAGCGGCACGAGGCGCAGCGACGCCGAAGACAGCGCATCGACGCCGCGCGTGTAGCTCGCCTCGGCGTCGCCGTAGGCGCCCTTTTTAAACTGCTCGTTGCCCTCGTTCTTGTGTCGAGAAGCTGCAGCGACGGCCGAGGCGTCGTCGGCGGGGATCGAGCGGTGGGCCTTGTCTCGCGCCGTTGCAGTCGCGGCAGCGGGCGCAGCAGCCGCGGCCGAGGTCCGTGACGGTCCGCGTCGGTTCGGAGAGACGTACGGTCGTCGGCCGCCATCGCCTGCTGGCGCTGCAAGCCCAGCCGAGGACGGAGGTGCAGCAGGTGCTGCTGCGGGCACGCCGGGGGCACCAGGTGCATCTGCGTCATCCCAGAGGTTGACGGAAGGCGATTCTGCCGCGGCGGAATCGCGGGTGGTCTGCTTTGGCCGGCGCGGCACCGGCGGCGCCTTTGCGGCGGCTGGTGCAGGACCTTCGCCCTCGTCGTCCGAGTCCTTGAAGCCGCCTGCAGCACTCCCTCCTGCCGCTGCTGCTGCTGCCGCCGAATCATCTTCGGCGGCTGCTTCGGCGTCGACCATCCATTTTGGCTTGCCCTCCCACTCCTTCTTGGCTGCTGCACCTCCGCCGCCGAGCCCCCACCGCCGGGCCGATCCGGCAGGGCTGGAGCGCCGCTCGGCATCGGCACCGGCCGCCTTCTGATGCTCCTCGAGCGCCTTCTGGGCCTGAGCCTTGGCGCTCGACCAGAACGCGGTCGCCTTGCCCAGCATGTTGGCGCCGAGCTCCGATGCCTGAGCATAGAGCTGGTCCGCCTGCTGCTGCCACTCGGCCGACCCAGCCTGCGATGAAGGCGTTGCGTTGCGGGACGGCGCTCGCAGGCCGTTGGGGCCGAGTCCGGCATTGATGCCCGCTTCCGTGCCTACTGCATCGCCGCGGCTCGGACCGGCCCGTCGTCTTCGCCTCCGCTCGGCCTCGCGGGCTTCGTACGCCGCAAGGTCCGGGTCTTCCTCGCCGCCATCGAAACCGCCATCGCCCCGGTACCGGGCGCTTTCCTGGCGTTGGAGCTCCTCGGCCAGCCTCTCGTCGGCGCGGCGCTGTCCGTCGTCGGCACCGCGTGCCCCTCCTTCTCCTGCGACGAGGAGCTCGAGCG